AGGTAACATTGATATATAACATTATGTAAGTTTCACGTGTACAATATTTCTACTTTTGTATACCCTCAAAGTGCTCACCATCAAAGACTTAGTTTCTATCTGTCACCATACAGGAGACATGTATGGTAAAGGAGACTGATCTCCTTTACCCATTTCACCCTCCCTCCACCCCTCCCCCTCTGGTAACCACTACTCTGTTCTTTATATCTATGGGTTTGTGTTTGTTTTTGTCTGGTTTGCTTTGTTCATTATTTGTTTTTGTTTTTTTAGTTTATTAGTTTTTTATATTCCACATATGAGTGAAATTATACAGTATTTGTCTTCCTTCATCTGACTTATTTCACTTAGCATAATACCCTCAAGGTCCATCCATGTTCTAACAAATGGCAAGTTTTCATCTTTTTTCTGGCTGAGTAGTATTCCATTGTGTATGTATGTGTGTGCGTGTGTGCGTGTGTGTGTGTGTGTGTGTGTATATATATATATATATATATATATACACACACACACCACAACTCCTTTATCCATTCATCTGTTGATGGGCGCTTAGGTTGCTTCCATATCTTGGCTATTGTAAATAATGCTGCAGGGAACATAGGGGTATGTATATATTTTCAGATTAGTATTTTTGTATTCTTTGGAAAAATATACAGAAGTGGGATAGCTGGATTGTATGGTAGTTCTATTCTTAATTTTTTGAGGAATCTCCATACTGTCTTCTGCAGTGGCTGCACCAATTTACATTCCCACCAACAATGCAAGAAGGTTCCCTTTTCTCCACATCCTCACCAACACATATTTCTTGTCTTTTTTGATAATAGCCATTCTGACAGGTGTGAGGTGCTATCTCATTGTGGTTTTGATGTACATTTCCATGATGTTTAGTGATGTTGAGCATCTTTTCATGTGCCTGTTGGTCATCTGTATGACTTCTTTGGAAAAATGTCCATTAGCTCCTCTGCCCATTTTCAAATTGCTTTTTTTTATTGTTGAGTTGTATGTGTTCTTTATATATTTTGGATATTAAACATCTCTTTTAAAATAACATATTTGGGGCTTCCCTGGTGGCGCAGTGGTTGAGAGTCCGCCTGCCAATGCAGGGGACACGGGTTCATGCCCTGGTCTGGGAGGATCCTGCGTGCTGCGGGGCGTCTGGGCCCCTGAGCCATGGCCTCTGAGCCTGCGCATCCGGAGCCTGCACGTCCGGAGCCTGTGCTCCACAGCAGGAGAGGCCACAACAGTGAGAGACTGGCGTACCGCAAAAAAATAATAATAATAATAAAATAAAATAACATATTTGTCAGGATAGACCAGGCTAAGTTGCAGTAACAAATCCCCCAAGTTGAGGAGCTTAACACATTAAATAAAGTTTATCTCTCATCAGATAAATCCTGTGTAGGTTCAGAAGATCTACAGGGCAGTTCCCTTCCAAGCTGTGTCTCAGGTATCCTGGTAGGCCCCATATGCTTTGCTATCTTAATCGCAGCTTTCAGTTTCACTATGAAGAGCTAGAGCATCATGTAAAAGTTTTTATGGCCAAGTCTACATGGGGCATACATCACTTCCACCCACATCCCAATGACTATAACTCATTCAAATCACAAGAGGAACAGAAATATTAGCTTCCTATATGCCCAGAAAGAGGAAAAATAAAAATGGTTCTTAATGAACACATGGCATGGTCTCTGCCACAACTGAAAAAGGATATCTACAGAAAACTTGCAGCAAACATCATACGTAATAATGAAACTTGAAAGTTTTTCCTCTGATAGTGGGAATAACACAAGGATGCCTGCTAACACCATCTCTATACAGCATTATTCTAGAGGTCTGAAACAATGCAACAAGAAAAATAAGATGTAAAAGGATTGGAAATGAAACAGCAAAATTGTCAGTATTTTCAGATGGTATTATTTTGGACATAGAAGATTCAAAAGATTCTGCAGATAAACTATTAGAATTAATGAGAGAGTTTAGCAAATTTACTAGGTACACATTCAAGATACCTAAATCAATTATATTTCTACATATCAACAGCAGGAAAAAAAGACTTTAAAAATGCCATTTATAGTGGCATCAAAAAGATCAAGAATCTAGGAATAAATCTTACAAAAGATGTGTTAAGTGCGCTACAAGAAAAATTGTAAAATTTTATTTAGAAACATTTAAGAAAACCTAAACAAATGGAAAGATATACCATGCTCGTGGATTGGAAGACTCATTATTGTAAAAATGTCAGTTCTCCCTAAATTGAATTATAGATTTGATTCAATTCCTATCAAATTTCAGCAGATTTTTGGGGGGACTGGGGAGCTGTTTCGTCTTTGTGGAACTTGACAACTGCTTTCTAAAATTTATGTGGAAAATGCAAAAAGTCAAGAATTGCAAAGACACTCTTGAAGAACAGGTGGGAGGATTTACTTAACCAGATATCAAGATGTGTACTAAAGCTCTATTAAACAAGGCAGTGTGACGTTGTACAAGGATGGCAAATACAGCCACATAACAGAATAGAGAGTGGAGAAACAGGCCCATGCGCAGATGGACACTAGGAGTTCCACACGGGTGACAATGCACAGCAGCGGGGCAGAAGAGGTCTTTTTGGTAAATGATGCTGGAATAATTGACTATCCAAATGGAAAATAATTTAATAGGGTGCACATTATGCACAGAGACACAAATGTGAAAAACAAAACTATAAAGCTTTTATGAGATAATATAGGAAAATGTCCTCATAACACAAAATGCACTAGCCATAAAGGAGAAAAACTAACAACCCAACTACATAAAAATTAAGAACGTTTGTTTTCACAGGATTCCATAAAAAGAATAAGACAAGCCATCAAGTGAGAGAAGGTATTTATGACACATATAACCAACCAACAAAGGGCTAATATTTGGAATAGATGAAGAACTTTAAAAATCAATGATAAAAAGGCAGACAACCGAAAATATGGGCAAAAGATTTGAACAGTCACTTCACAAAAAAATTAAGCTCAAATGTCTAATAATATATATGAATAAATGCTCAGGCTCATTGGTAAGCAGGAAAAGGAACATTAAAACCACAATGAGATATAACTACACGTCTATCAGATGGGAAAATCCTGACAATAACCCTGTATGGTCATTTGCTCGGTGGTGTGAAGCAAATGAACGCTCATACACCGCTGGTTGGAGAGTAAATATCTATAACCATTTTAGAGAATTGTTTGGCATTATCTAGTAAAGCTGCTAATACATCTACCCAATGACTCAGCAGTTCCACTCTTAGGTACATATCCTAAGAAAGATATGCTTGTGCACACAGGGAGACTTGTGCAAGCATTTTCATAGCAGCATTGTTGGTAACTGTTTAAAGCCAGAATCAAACCAAATCCGTCAACAGTAAGATAGATCAATTCTTTGGTATATAATCATGCAAAAGAATATTATGCAGCAATAAAATTGGTTGGACTACATGAATTTTTTTAATAGGATTTACTCTTTTTTTTTAATTAATTAATTAATTTATTTAGGGCGGTGTTGGGTCTTCGTTTCTGTGCGAGGGTTTTCTCTAGTTGTGGCAAGCGGGGGCCACTCTATATCGCGGTGCGCGGGCCTCTCACTATTGTGGCCTCTCTTGTTGCGGAGCACAGGCTCCAGACGCGCAGGCTCAGTAGTTGTGGCTCACGGGCCTAGTTGCTCCACGGCATGTGGGATCTTCCCAGACCAGGGCTCGAACCTGTGTCCCCTGCATTAGCAGGCAGATTCTCAACCACTGTGCCACCAGGGAAGCCCTGGACTACATGAATTTTATCAAAGTGAAAAGGGCTTAATGAAAGAATACATTCAGTACGACTCCATATTTAAAAGTTTCAAATGCAGGCAAAATCAACCTGTGTTTTTTAAGGATGCATAAATACATGGTAAAGCTATAAAGGAAAGCAAGAGAATTAATATTGTAAAAGTAAGAATAGTGATGAGCTTCCATCAGAGTGTGGAGGCTGTGATAGGGAACTTCTGTTCCTTAACCTAGGTGAGGATTAGAACAGGATATACTTTATAACTCTTTGTCAAACTCTATGCCCTTTTATATGCATATGATATTTTATAATACAATTTTTTAAAATGTATCATATATGGAGTCAAAATATTATCTCCCCTCATGAACATTATCTAATTTCGTCCTTACCACAAGGTCCTGCCAAGCAGGCATTATCCCATTTTACAGGCAGGAAAACTGAAGTTCAAATGGCTAAGTGTTTTATTTTTGCAAATAGCTTGGTAATTTGCCTAAGACATCCTAGTGAGTGATAGAACTCGAGCTTCACCCAAGTCCCAGCCACAGTCTCTCTGAGGCCCATTCATACTCTTTCCATGGTGGTTCTCTGTAGCTTCTAAAATTCACTGCAGCTCTAAACCTATAATGTCCCATTCTTCAGTCACTGAGCCATGCAACATCTCTCATAAGACAGTTCACATCTTTTCCAAACTAAGCCTTCCCATTCCCTTAATAGCACAGTCCTCCAAAGCCAATGGTGGGCCTGTGCAGTGAGTCTGCATCCCATCACCCACCCACCTGGTCCAGGCTAAATGTCATGCTTTCCTCTTTGATCCACAAAATCCCCTACTTGAGCTAAGAAACCATGTGTAACTGTTGTCCCAAACATGATTAGAGGACAGTAGTGCCCCTGTAAGTCCCACGCAGGGGGAGTCATCGTGTTCCTCCAACATATTCTGACCCTAACCGTCCACATTGCTATCTGGGAGCCTTGCCTCAGCTCCACCCTCACGGCATCCTCTCAGCTACTCCAGGGTATAGAAGCCTCTGGAGGAGGGGCACTTGGTTCCTGAGGTAGCACCTTTACCTGGCCCAAGGGAGCTGGCCCGCCCAGCAGAGAATGCTAGGGTCTGATCCTACTCAGGACGAGACCCCAAGATTTTTAGCACCTGCCTGAATTCCAGCTGCCAGGTGACAAAGTCCTGTACCAGCAACACCACTGCTTTCTGCTGCCTAGGCAGGTACCAGGTGATCGGGGGTATCATCTCTCCTGTCAATGACAACTACGGAAAGAAGGACCTCGTGGCTGCCCGGCACCGGGTGGCCATGGCCCGGCTGGCCTTGCAGACGTCCGACTGGATCCAGGTGGACCCCTGGGAGAGTGAGCAGGTGCAGTGGACGGAGACAGTCAAGGTGCTGAGGTAACGGTGGGCATGTGCTCTTGGGATGAGCAGGGGCCACGGTCACGTCTGCAGAGCCCACAGGGTGACAGGCAGGGATGGAGTGTTGAGTGGGGCTTCAGCCAGCCCCTCTCACCCAAATCCTGCAAGTGTTTCTCCTTAGAGGGAGAGAGACCAACAGATTCATATTCTCAGAGAGGTCCTAAGTGAAAAAATCACAAACCACTGCCCTTCAGGGTACACTTTGTGGGAAAGCCCTATCTTGTTTCAGAGGGTTGTAGCATCTAGGCTCCAGGGCCGCCACTCAGTAGCTGTGTGACATTAGGCACATGACATTTCTCTGGGACACATTTCTCGCTTGCAAAATGGGGACAGCATAACCTAATGAGCATTACGAAAATGTAAATCACTTTTCTGACCCCGAACCACATAATCACACTCAGTAAGTGAGACCCTTTATTATTGTCGTCACTGACTAGGTTGAAAACTGCATCTACATAATAGGCCATCTTTTCCAAGTGTACAAATCCTAGGTTCTATAAATCTAGACTTTAAGAAAAAACTATGAATCTAGAAATAATTACACAGGATTTTTTTTTTCTTTTAGAACTGCTATTAGCATTCAGCATAAGTAATGCAGCCCTTTAAAAGCCCTGTATTTTAGGACAGTGGGTCTCTGACTTTTGTCTGGGAAGCTTTCCTGGGAGATTGCTAGAGAAGCAAGAAGTCCCACTTGTCCTGCCTGTCAGAGGGGATTGTGAGTGAGGTGGGCCTGCCTGTCACTCATGACAGCCAGCTCTGCTGGAAGGGATTGCAAACTGTGGGCTGTGTCTTGATCTCTGTGGAAGCACTAGGATTGTCAGAGAATAGGAGACACAAGGGACCAGGTTGAATGATTGACAGCCCTGTCCATAATTTGGATTGGTTTTTATTTTTTGCTAATCTTCAAAGTCACTTGGAGAAAAATGTTTGCCTTTTTAAGCAAAGGTAAACATTTAGTTTCCACATCCTGGTTCTTATTACTTACCCTATACTGAGGAAATAACCAGCTAGAAGCATTCAGCAGTTACAGTGCTACTGCAAAGTCTGCTGTCAAATCGAAGGAGAGCAAATATGAAATAATTGTTCGATATGTGCTTCTCCTGTTTTTTTTAACTTAAGTAATAAATTTACACCTAGATCACCCTTTTAGAATAAACAGTGTAGTCAGCTCTCATTTATCTAGGCTAACAGAGAGCAGAAACAAATCGGATAATCCAAAAAGTCATTTAGCTTTAATGTGTAGTCAGAGACAAAGAGACACTCTCCTTTTCCACCCCGTGAGGGGCAGTGTGGCCTCGGGCCCAGATCTTGGAGACTCGATGTAAATGAGTTAGCCTCTCTGAGCCTCAATTCCTCACCTAAGAAGATGGGGATGACACCGCCTACTTCACTGGGATACTGTATGAACTACATGAGATGATGTCGGAAGACACCTGGTTTATAGTAGGTGCTGAATAATGTTAGCTACCTTCCCTGCATCCTTAACAGGCCCATAATGTCTCCTCGTAACAGATGAGCCATTCACAGGTAAGTAGGATTTGACCGCAGTACCACGTCATTAATGTCCTGCTGCAAAATGCAGACCTAAGATTTTACAGGACACATTCTTTTTCTTTTTTTTTTTTACTGTACCCTTTAGACAAGTGCTTCTCAGCCCTGGCTGCACCTTGAATCACCTAGGGAGCTTTCAAAAGTACGGAAGCCTTAGTCTTACCCCAGAGACTGAGATGTCATTGGTCTAGGACAGGGCCTTAGGATTTTTTTTTTTTTTTTTTTTTTTTTTTTTTTTGTTGC